GGAATTGTAGACATAGTAGCGCTGCAGCGCGCCCTGGTCGCCGGCGATGCGGCCCAGCGCCGCGTGCATGGAGCGGGCGGCTGCGTCTGGCACCCCGTAGGCCGCGGTCAGGCGGTACTCCAGGTCCCAGCGCGCCTCCCCGTGCGCGTTCGCCTGGCTCAGGTTCACGAAGTAAGTCACCATGTCCTGGAGAGGAAGGCGACCTTGAGCAGATGTCTGCTTCCACCCCCAACCCTGCACCTCGCCTTTGCCCCCAGATTCTATATATCCATAATAATGTCTGTTAATTAATGAGCATTTACTACTTACCAGGTGTGTGTATGACAGACATCCTCTGAGTGAATCTGATGCAGTATCTGTGCTTATTACCCCCATTTCACAGACGAAGAAACTGAGTCCTAAAGAGGTTAATTTTTTTCCCCCAGGGTCCTACAGGTGTTCAGTGGCCAAGGCAGGAGTGGAACCAGGTGGTTTACCCCATGGCCTGAGCATTTTCTGTTCCAGGAAGCTCCCGGAGACACAGAAGATGTTCAGTAAATGTTTACAGAATGAATGGATAAAAAGCAACTTAAAAGAGGTAGGATGGAGTGCCTGGCTGAGAGAGGTTATAGAAATGTGGTTGATTGGAGGCCTGGGATACACCCAAGACCCCGAGGACTCGGGTGCACCTTCAGTACTAGAATCTGGAAGGGTTTATCTGTGCAGCACTTTCCACTTAAATTCATGGGCCTGCTTCAGGTCAATAGAGGTGGGGTAAGAGGAACTGCCATGGATGGATGATACTTCCTGCCTCCCATTTTACAGATAAACCAACGGAGGCCGAAGGAGGTCAAAAAGCTCCTGAGTGGTGGAGCCAGGATTCAAACCCAGGTGTGTCTGACTCCCTCTCTGAGAAGGACGTGAGGCAGGTTGGTGGGACCAGGTGCAGCAGGGAGGAGGGAGTCCTGGCCTGTGATTCCTCTCACTAAGGCCCTCTGAGTGCCCATGTGGGCAAGAAGTCATACTCTTAAAAATCCTCAGACCTCTTCTCTATCTCCATTTACTCCAAGAATCAAGGAACTAGGTTATCTTATCTAGTCCGTGGTTTTAAATGGCCTTTCTCAACTCCCAGATTAAATCTCAATAATCACCCCTTCCTGGAACTCCACGTGCCTCCTCCCTCAGCATTTTCACTTGGATGCCATTTAGACATCCTGAAATTAATGGGTCCAAAACCAGATTTATCTTCCCTCCAAAACCTGTTCCTCCTGCAGTGATCCCAGTCAATAGCAGTTTCATCCTTACGGGTTTTCAGACCAAAGCCTTGGAGTCCTCATCGATTCCTCTTTCTCTCACACTCCTCATCCAATCCACTAGCAGATCCTGTCTGCTCTGCCTTCAGAATACATCCAGGATCTGGCCCTTCCCACCACCCAACTGCTACCACCCTGGCGCACAGCAGCATCACGTCTCCTGCTTTTAAAGCCGCCTCTCAATTCATCCTCATGTTTCCGCCCTTGCCCCCCAGCCTGTTCTCTGCACGGCAGAAATGGTGATTTTGCAAATTTTTTAAGTCAGTATGTTTAATTCTTCTGCCCCAAACCTTCCAGATCCAGAGTCCTACTCATGGCCTGCGTGCTCTAACCTTGTCCCTCCCACTGTGCCTCCCACTGTGACCACACTGGCCTCCTTGCTCTTCTAACACACCAGGCACATTTCCACCCCAGGGCCTTTCACTTGCTCTTCCTTCACCTTCCCCAGATGCTCACATGGCTCACTCCCTCAGTTTACTCAGAAGTGAAATGTCATCCTGTCAGTGACACTTCCCTGCCACACACTCGCATGCACACTCCGTAACCATCACCACCTGTCTCTTCACTGTTTTCTTTTCTCCTTAGCACTTATCTCTTGCCATACTTTACTTATTTGTTTATTGGCTCCTGTAAGAAGTCAGCTCTAGGAGAGCAATGATTTTGTTTTTGTTCACTTATGTATCTCCTGAGCTTAGCACAGGGCCAGGCACGTGGCAGATAATTAATATATTTTGTTGAATAAATTAAGGAATAATATTTCTTTGTCATTTCAGCAATCACAAGCACATCCCAGGAGGTGAGGGAGTGCTTGATGAGTTAGGGACCTGCTTTGGCTGCAGTGTAATCAGTGTAGAGAAGACAGACATGGGCAATGGGCCTGAGGGCACACTTGAATACCAGGCCAAGGAGATCCATTTTATCTTGGGGACACTGGGGAGCCATGGAAGGTTTTTGAGCAGGAGAGAGATAAGTGCTTTAGCAAGATTAATCCTTTCTGTAGTATGTAGCAGATGAGCTTCAGCAGGGCAGCGCTAGAGGCAGAGAAATCAGGTAGGAGGCCATGACAATGATCCAGGGCAAAGGGAGACTTGGGGAAAGGAGAAATGACTTGATTTGGTGGCAGGATTTGGTGATAGCACCAGGGGTCTGACCCTGAGCTCTAGAAGGGTGGAAGTAACTTGACCTTCCTGAGGTTCGGTGGTCATTAGAGTGTGGATTATCTGGGAAAGAGTTAGGGAGTGTGGTGATACGTTCAGGTCCCTCCCCTCCCTTCTCCTGTAGCCCCAGCAGACCCAGGGCTCCTGACCTGCAGACTCAGTGTGGCTCGGTCATATTCAAACACCCGGATGCCTGGATTATTGGCCCCGTTGACCACTCCAGGTAGTGTGGTTTTCCATGGGGTGACTCCAGGTGTAAGGAACATAACACTGATGGGGGCACCTTTCAGGAGAGAGACAATGGGACTGAGAGAGACTGGCGAGAGAAGGAGGGAGGGAGGCTGGCAGGTGCCCTCCAGGCTGAGTACCTGTATCATCATAGAACATCCGAAAGCTGTCGGTGTGGTGGTGCCCGAAGAACTGCCCTGCGATGACTCGATGGTGCTTCTGGACCACCTTCAGGTACTTCTCGTTGAATTCCTCCCTGAACCACGCTTTGTTCCGCGTCTTCTCAAAGAAGCCCGGGGGCACGTGGCCAATGATGTACACCTATGAGCAAGCAGTGCCAGGAGGGGCTCAGAGATGACCTCCCCACCCCTTCATTTCCACCTCTCAAAACCCGCCCATCTCCCCAAAGGCAAGCAGATAGGCTCAGGTGCACCTCCTGTCGAAGCCCTCTGCTTTTCCCTCTTCCGGGCGGACTCCAGTGTTCTCTGTACCCAGGATCGAAGGTACACCTGCTTCCCCCCTCTGTGCCTGTGCGCGTGCTGTGCCTGCCACCTGGAGTACCCTTCTCATTTTCACTTCTGTAAATCCTCCTCAGACTTCAAAACCCACTTCAAAGTTCACCTCCCCGTGAAGCCGTCCTGATCCTCACAGACTGGTCTTCTCTTGGAGAGCAGGGGCGCTGTAACTGAACCTGCCTTGCACGACTGCATCGCACATGCTATGTGTTAATGTGTGATCGCGTCTTACATTCCTTGAGTCACTCAGCTAACGCTACCTGGGCCCTCGGCCATCACTGCAACGGGTAAAGTGGGGGTGAGGGAGAGACAGTTAGGAGCATGAACTTTGGAGTCAGACTACAGCTTGGACACCATCGGTGTGTCACCTCTCTGAGCCTCAGTTTTTTAATTGGGAATAGCACCTAACTGGTGGAGCTTTGAAAGTTAAATGACATAATCCATAGTGAGGGCCTAGAAGCACCAGCCATGACATCCTGCTGGGATGTGCTGTTGTTCCGTGCAGGGACTCAAGCAAATGAGACACAGGGCCAGTCCTTGGGGAGCCGCCAGCCCAGCAGACTAGACGGACACACCCCAAGGGCAGGGCATCCCCTCGAGGTCTAGCCCACAGTGTGGGCCACAGCCGTGGAGTGCGGAGACTGGGGTCCTGGCCTCAGCTCTACCACTAACTGTGTGATGATCATCGCCTCCCCTCGGGAGCCTCACATCTGTAATAGGCTTTGGGGTCCCGGCCTCACAAGCTGTTCTGAGGATGGAAAAAGCCCCCTCCTGGTGCCAGGCTGCTGAAGACCCTCTGTGATGTGGGCATCTGGAGAGAGTAGATGGATTTGTGTGGAGGTGGGAGACTTGTTCAGGAAGTGATTCCAGAGGGGGGGAGGAGAAGGGGGGAGCCCTTACCATTTCCCCAGCTCTGGACGCATTGCTCAGCACGTCTTCCAGCCACTGGAACTGCTGGCCAGGGTCAGCCATGCTGGCCGTCTGCTCGTTGTTGCTATAGTACAGATTGGTGTTGAGGACCACGATTCGCCCAGTCCTCCCAGGCCCCGGCAGCTTCTCAGAATAGAAGGCACCTAGGACATCACCGCCCGGGAAAATGTGAAGGGTTCCTCTGCCTCTGACCAAACACACCTCTGCCCCCTCTCACTTCACTCTCCCACCTTCTCCTTACCTGGGTCCTCCCTCCCCATCTTTCCCATAAGAGGGGCATCATGGGTTAAGACCAAAGACTTTGGAGCCAGGCTGCCTAGGTTCATGTCCTGGCTCTGTCCCTTATTAGCTGTGCAACTCAGGAAAGCTACTTAACTTCTCTGTGTCTCCATTTCCTCATCTGTATAATGGTGATAACAATGACGTGTGTTTGCCCCTCCAGATACACCATCAACCCTTCTCCACAGCTCTCTGTCCCAGGAGCTGATCTATTGAACTAAATCAATGACTTCTGAGCCACAGGCTTCTGGTTGGCCTGACCAATGGGGAGCCTCAGCAGCAGGGAACTGAGGAAAGGGAAGAGAGTAGTCAGGGTTACCTTGGGCTAGCTGTGTCTTGGAATCAGTTGTCCTCAACAAGGTGACTTTTGTCCCCCAGGAAACGTTTGGCAATGTCTAGAGATATTTTTTGTTTATCACAACTGGGGTGTTACTGGCATCTAGTGGGTAGAGGCCAGGGATGCTGCTAAACATCCTACAGTGCACAGAACAGCTCCCACTACAAACACTTACGTTGCCCAAAATGTCAATAGGGACAAGACTGAAAAATCCTGCTTGAGCTGAATTAAAAGTCACTGCCCTTTCCTAGTTTTTTTGCCAACAGTCTAGTAACACCCTGAGGGTAGTGCCTGGCACAGTAAATGCTCAATAAATATTCACTGCTGATCCTCATTAGTGCTATGGGGTTAAGAGCATGGGCACTGGAGTCAGCCTTGGATTTTGCCCCCAAGCCTGCCTCTTCTAAGCTGGGTGACCTTGGCCAAGTGACTTGGTATCTTTAAGCCTCAGTCTCCTTATCTATACAATGGGGATAAAATCAGTACCAATGTCATGGGGATGTTGTGAAGATGAATTAGACCTTGGCATACAATAAGTGCATATAGTAACAAATGGTATTAGTACCTTCTTTGAAGAGAGCGATGGATTCATTACTGAGCCAGGGTCTCCACAGTTCTGCTACCTGATTGTAGATATTGTTGCTCCCTGCTGGGAACTGGTTTTTGGGATGAAAGTCATGATTTCCTAAAGCAGCGTATACTTTAGTATCTGGGAGGGAAAAGAGAAACATAAAAATATGCATGTGGAAGCCCTTGGTGGAGTCAGTCATCTTCAGTTGGCCATTGGCCATCAGAGCCAATGAGGAATGATGAAGGAAAATCCACAGATGAGGAAAATACAGAGCTAAGCTGAAAACTTCATTTTATAGAATCTGGCTGAACTTTGCTCAGACCTGCGAAGGAGGAGCAGTGAGCTCTTGGATCCTGGACCCTAACCCCATTCCCAGCAGAAAGTTTCCTGGGCAGAGAGGAAGCATCGGCTGAGAGGAAAGAAAGCTAGAAGACCTAAATCATCCTCAGATCCATTACAGCTGCTTGGCAATTTAGTGTTCCTTGTTCTTGTCAATTCCAGAGCCAGGAAAGAGGTCAGGTTCACTCTGGGAGGCCTAAGGAGTTTCACTCATTCATGAATCAAGAGTGTGTACTGAGCACCTAGTTTGTGCCAACCTGTAGACCTTGTACCAGGCACCCAGTCCCAGACCCAGTGCAGTAGGGTTGACAGGTATTGAGTAATGGGAGGTGTGTGGGCTATTGTTACAAAAAAGGAAGAGCCACTTGCTGTGGAAGTGTATAACGGGTGGCGGTGAATCAGGGGAGGCCTCCCAGAGGAATTGGCCTGTGAATGAGCCCAGGAAGGGGAGGGGAGGGGAGGCTGTCAGACTCCTTTCCTCCTTATGAGTAGCTTCATTCCTGATTTTATTTTACTACTGTGTCTGGCATGTAGTAGTTGCTCAATAAATATTTGAGGACAAACAAAAACTCCTTTGAGCTCAGGGCAAGGCAGTGCCTTATATGAGCTTGGCTCATCCCAGAGAGTGACCTTGAACCGCTGAGGGAGGCTGGAGCTTCCAGTTCTCAGTTGGGAAAATGTCTCTAACTGACTTTTTATTCTGTATAGCCTTCACGTTCTGGAAATGCTGAGAGCTCTGCCAAAGGAGGAGGTTGTAGAAGTAGAATTCCCACCAGGAATTGGTCACAAAGCAGGAAGCCATCAGTGTAGCTGATGGAAAAACCTCACCTGGTTAAAGTAAATGCCAGCAGCCATTAAAGATCCATTTAAGAAAAAACATGAATTCCTGGAATCTCAAGGGCAGACGAGAAGGGAGAGAATCCCCCCCCCCCC